CAATGTTTTCTATTCTAGGTAGTGTATATCTGCAGTTTATTCAGCAATGTTTTCTATTCTAGGTAGTGTATATCTGCAGTTTATTCAGCAATGTTTTCTATTCTAGGTAGTGTATGCAGTGCTGAGGAATCATTATTCTGCTCTGCCTAAAGCAGCAGGCTAGGGGAGCAGGTCGACCTCCCCAAGATGGCGCCCGTATTTCCTTCGCCGCGACAGTCCGTGCGGGGTCTCCTCCTATGCTCGGAGGACGCAGCCCCTGAATTGGAAGTCAGGATCTAAGCAGTACATCTCAAGTAGCTCAATCAGTAGAAAGCTGCTGAGCCACAGCCCCCCATGACCACCCACCCACCCACAGCCAGGGGTTAGCGCACCATGCTAACAGCCCACGCTTACCTGGCTCCAGCAAATAAACTCATTTGTGTCTGCATCTTCCACCAGGGTCCAGAGCTTGGTCAGGAAGGCCGGGACGTTGGAGTTCTGCTTCATTTCCCAGTTTTTAGCCAGATAGGCCGATGCAGAGATGCTCTAAGCTCCGCTGTGTTGCTTTGGAAGAGATGTCCAACCCAGCATTGAAGAGGAAACCAATAGACTGAAACTTCCGCTGGCTTCCTGTTTAACAGGATTGGTCAAAAGCAACTTTACGTAAGATACCTCACGTGGAATTCCCTGCAAACAAACAAAGAGAGGGCGGGGCTAACCGCGAGCCTCACATGTCTGGGGAAACATCAACAATAAATGAATTAGTCATTCTATTCTATTCAGTTTATATCTATAGCTTCAATTCACATCATGTCATCTCAAGGCACTTTCCAGTTCACCAGATCATCAAGTCACATTGATTAAAAGTTTTCTATCTTAGGAACACCAGCTGATTGCCTTGTTCATTTTTGGCTTACCAACATGTCATGTAATATGCATATAACACACATTAACTGAAATTAGAAAACAAATATTCACATTTGGCTTAAAAAATAATGAAAGACTTATAATTTACAAGAGTTTTCTAAGAAGCTAAACTTATCAGGACAAAGACAGCACAAAAATGTACCCTTCACTTTGATCTAACAAAAAATCATGACAATAACAAAGAAACTGAAATGAATAGAAATACCAAATAATAAATGTGCTGTAGTTGGTGAATGACATTGCAAATTATATCATAATATTATCAGGATATTCATTATCACAGTACAATCTTTTAAAATACTAAATAATAATATACAATTGAAATATGTAATTGTAAATAAAATTTGTGCAATATAATTGTCAGGTTGGGTGGAGGCTTTGAGGACCCAAATAAGGAGAAAAAAGGCCTAATAAGAATTATTTAAGGTCTACAGCCAACTAAGGCAAAAATCCAGAAAAATGCAAGACAAAATCCAATAAAGGTCAGGGAAAATATTTGCGGGGAAGCAGGCGACAAGGAAGCAGCTAAACAACAACAAGAAACCAGGAACTGCAGAGATGTTGTATATATGGGAAACAGAAGAAAGTATGGGCTAATGAGTTGATATGGAGCAGGTGTGAATAGAACTAAACTAGGGGGGAACCAAGGAACAGGCACAAGGGGGCAGCAGAGAGTAACTGGAGAAATACCAGACTGAAAAAAACATCTACAAAAATACAGAATAAACAAGAAGCTAAAAATAAACTAAAGCAGAGGGCAGAACCCTGACAATAATATCATTGCATTTTAATATAAAACATTGTGTCTATCAATTAATTAATTGCAAAATATATACACATTTACAGACACCTGCATCTGAATGTATAAAAACACAACAAGGATAGAAATAATGGGGAAATCAAAATGAAGTACATCAAAGACACATGTTTATTTTGATTGTTTTACTCATATTTAAGTGTGGTGGTCCAATTGACCTGCAAATAGTGTTATGCCGATACCGATACCAGTATCAGACGGGGCCCGGATCCAGCACTACAGTGGTGGTATCACATTCGGCGAGTACCAATAAATATGGCACCAATACCATTTTGACAGCTAAAAGTTTATTCAACTATTGTCACCCATTCCAGGTAGGCAACAAAAAGTTCTACTGGATTCACTTTGCATTAGTCTTTTTCCTGCTTCACAAAGGTAGGCAGCAGCTTGACAAAGCCATGATGGCAATTATTCTACATTCAAGTAGGATGCAGTTCTTCATATATACACACACACACATACATTTTAATGAAATGGTATCGGTATCAGCCTCTTTAGTAATCTCTGTTGCCCCCTTGTGTTTGTTTCCTTTCCCCTTCACTTCCTTCTAGTTAGTTCAACTCACACCCTCTCCATATTCAGTTCATTAGCCCATCCTCTGTTCTGTTCCCCTTAGATATTCCACCTCTGCAGTCACTCAGTGCTGGTTCCTTGTTGTTAGTTGCTTCCTCATCTCTTGGCCCCCATGTGAGTTTTCCTTGATGTTTTCTGTTTTTTTGTTGGTTTTTTGTATTTTGGATTCTTGCATCTCTGCCTCAGTTTTCATTACCTACAAGAACTCATCTCTGCCTTACTTATCTCTGCATTTGGTCCTCAAGCAACCTCAGCCCACTTGCTGACAAGAATGATAGTGACATACATTAGAATTTCTAAATTGCACTTTCAAACAATCAAAGCACTGAGCATAGGGGTACAAAAAAATCACTGTGCCACGGCTTCCTCCCGCAGAACAGAAAGAATCTGAAGTTACACTGCTCAAAAAAATTAAGGGAACACTTTGAAAACACATCAGATCTCAATGATCATGCTGTTTATTTATACTGATATGGACTGTAATAGGAACAAAAGGATGCCACATCATTTGATGGAAATGAAAATGATCAACCTACATAGACACCCCAAAAATGACAGTGAAAAAATGATGTGGCAGGCCATTTCGCTGAAATTTCATTGCAGCAACTCAAAATGGAATTCAGTCATTTGTAGACCCCATGTGCGTGTATGCATGCCTCACAACATCAGGGTATGCTCCTAATGAGACGACGGATGGCGTCCTGGGGCATCTCCTCCCAGATCTGGACCAGGGCATCACTGAGCTCCTGGACCGTCTGAGGTGCAACCTGGCGGCGTCGGATGGATGGAAACACAATGTCCAGGAGGTGTTCTATTGGATTTAGGTCAGGAGAGCGTGGGGGTCGATCAATGGTTTCAATTCATTCATCCTCCAGGAACTGCCTGCATACTCTCGCCACATGAGGCCGGCCATTGTTGTGCACCAGGAGGAACCCAGGACCCACTGCACCAGCATAGGGTCTGACGATGGGTGCAAGGATTTCATCCCGATACCTAATTGTCAGAGGCTCTAAACCTTGGACCCAATATTCAACAGACAGAGCTGGAAGAGTTACAACAGTCTTTATTAAAAAGCAGCGTGTGACGGCGTGTCAGCTGGGGCGGATTACACGGATCCTCTGTGGAAACAGAAACTCAGGTCAGTGACTAAGAATGGATGGCTGGTAACAGCTAAGAGCTATAGTCACTGACCTGGTTCAGAGTTCAGTCCGATCCCAGAGGGTGGAGAGGAATCCGCAAAGGTGATTGTCCTCCGCTGGCAGCGGGTGCGGCGCTGATGCCCAACGACGCCGAGGAGCAGGTGTTTCCAGAAAGGGAGATCCAAGCCGAAGTCGAACCAGAACCAAGTTCGTTTACCAGATGATCAGAGAGCCGATGAGGTACCAATGAGGGAATCCAAGCAGTGGTCAGGAAAACAGTCCAGGTTCGGTCAGCCAGTTGCATCCAATAAACAGTCCAGAGCCGATCAGACTAATAGAGCAGACAGGGGCGAAGCAAAACTCGGGATCCACAAGACAGAAACAGGTCACAAACAGAATAAGCAGAATAATAGTGAGTTACTCTCACCAAAACAGTTAATCTGGCACTGGAAGCTTGAAAACAAACAGTATATATAGGAGCTGGAACCAGGTGGATGGGATAAGCAATGATGAGAGAACAGACAGAGCTAAACAGGTGGGTGTAATAAGCAATCAAGCCACCAGTGCCAGGACCATGACACTAATGGCAGTCAGGGTGCCGTTGTCTAGCCTGTATAGGTCTGTGCGTCCCTCCATTGATAAGCCTCCCCAGACCATCACTGACCCACCACCAAACCGGTCATGCTGAACGATGTTACAGGCAGCATAACGTTCTCCACGGCTTCTCCAGACCCTTTCACGTCTGTCCCATGTGCTCAGGGTGAACCTGCTCTCATCTGTGAAAAGCACAGGGCGCCAGTGGCAGACTTGCCAAATCTGGTGTTCTGTGGCAAATGCCAATCGAGTTCCTCGGTGCCGGGCAGTGAGGACAGGGCCCAATAGAGGATGTCGGGCCCTCAGGCCACCCTCGTGAAGTCTGTTTCTGATTGTTTGGTCATTCACACCAGTGGCCTGCTGGAGGTCATTTTGTAGGGCTCTGGCAGTGCTCCTCCTGCTCCTCCTTGCACAAAGCAGCAGGTACCGGTCCTGCTGATGGGTTGTAGACCTTCTACGGCCCTGTCCAGCTCTCCTGGAGTAACTACCTGTCTCCTGGAATCTCCTCCATGCTCTTGAGATTGTGCTGGGAGACACAGCAAACCTTCTGGCAATGGCACGTATTGATGCGCCTTCCTGGAGGAGTTGGACTGCCTGTGCAACCTCTGTAGGGTCCAGGTAGTGCCTCATGCTAACAGTAGTGACAGTGACCCTAGCCAAATGCAAAACTGGTGAAAAGGAGTCAGAAAAGATGAGGACGGGAAAAAACGGGCCTCCACCTGTAAAACCATTCCTGTTTCGATGGTCGTCTCGTTGTTGCCCCTCTAGTGCACCTGTTGGTAATTTCATTAACACCAAAGCAGCTGAAACTGATTAACAACCCCTTCTGCTACTTACCTGACCAAATCAATATCCTAGAAGTTTATTAACTTGAACTTGAAGTTGATTGACTTGAACTCTGATTACAAAGTGTTCCTTTAAATTTTTTTTTGAGTATATTTGGGCCAACAGAACATTCTTCAACATGCAGCTTTAGCTTCTATAACTAAACATTTAGGATCAAGCCCATGATTTCCATTAACCTGTTTATCATTTGCCTTATCGAGACAATTTTTGTCTCTAAATATTTTTTGTTTTTATTTTTCATTTCCCCTTTTTATTAAAGTAATTTATCTGGAGCGGCAACAAACTATTTTTGTCGTGGTGACACACAGGATAAGAATATTTGTAGGGGTCAGAGGAGTTGAAGGTACTCAGGGAGAAGCTGGAGGATCTTGGAAATCATGAACGCAGATGTGTTGGCTTCCCGGAGTCGTGTGTGAACAATGATGCACTAAAAAAAGTCAATCTTTTGTGCAGTAAACTCTTTTAGAGTATTCATAATAATTTTTACGCTGTGTATTTAAGCTTCAGTAAAAACAAGAGTTTCTGATGAAAATTAAACATTGTTTTTTCATGTGATACATGAATTTTGGGGAAAGAGTAAGTTTTTCTTAGGTTTCCATATACTATTCTAATGTTTGATAGCAGTATGTACCTAAACCAAAAAACATAACTTAAACTTTACTCTTAAAAATGTAATGTTTTAAATTGCAGCCATGGTGCATGCGTACTGTGGC